TAATTTGACCACTTTTTGGACAAAAAGGCCTGGTCACCAAATCTTCTCCACGAGGTTTTCAAAATGGCGGAAACAGCAAAGGTACGTAAAAACACGATTTCTCATGAATTATTAATTGTTTGAAAACATTCAAAGTCAATTTTTACTTATAGATGAAGCCATTTAAAGTGTGGAGTGCAAATAGATCTAAAAAAGTGATTGTTGTGGCGAATTCATTGGAAGAACTGACGAGGAAAGGTACGGAACCGCACTATATTTTAAAAGTTTAGAAAACGTACTGTCCTGGCATGCCATAATATATAATATATAAAATGAACTTCATGTAGGGTACTTTGTAGTGTTTAATATATTTTAATTTTTTAGTGTTTAATTTATTTTTTATTCTGAAACTTTATAAATTCTAGGGTATTTTAAATAACCTCATTGAATGATATAAAACTGTTAGTAGACAATACCTTTCCTGTTTACGTCAATTTCTAGTTATTATATAGTCAATTACGAACAAGATTTGGATCGACTGCCATTTAAACATTTTAATTAAGTAACTTACCCAAGGTTATGTCGTCCGGCATATCACACATTGAAAACACAAATTATCTAGAGTTCTAATAGCAAGTAATTGTATTCCTTCCACTCGTGAGCTCATTATTATAAGTAATAGCATAGAAAGAGGCGAATTAGCTATTAAAACGTCCCGCCCGATGAGGGTCGTTTAGTAAAATTCCCTTGGGCGCCGTTCGATGAGGGTCATTTAGTAAAATTCCCGAGGGCTGAAATTTAGTAAAATTCCCTTGGGCGCCGTTCGATGAGGGTCATCGAAAATTTTACTAAATGATCCGAATCGAGCGGCGCCCAAGGGAATTTTACTAAACGACCCTCATCGGGCGGGACGTTTTCAATAGCTAATTCGCCTCTTTCTATGCTATTACCTTGTAATATCATGATTGTGGGTATTCCCGTTGTTCTCGCAGGGCCATTAAAAACCAATTAACAATATAAATTAAATGGTATAATTGTTTTCCATGTCTTTGTTTAGTTTTGGCGATTTCAGATATATTCATTTTTTCTAATCGTACCCGCTTTGACGTCGTTTCGGGTAGGATTACAACTAATTCTACCTGACATGACGTAAAAGCAGGTAGGTTTAGAAAAAATGAATATAATGAGGTGTATTAGTTATTAATTGCCCTGCGAGAACAAAGGGAATACCCGCAATCGTGATATTACAAAAGTAATGTCCAGGCCTTGTGACCCTAGTCCCAAAAAAATGATGGGTTAACCCACACCCCAGCAGAGATGTCATCGAGAAAGATATTGCTATTAAATGGTGAACCAATTCTATTAAATACATAGGGAATGAAAAAATTGGCTTGAATCCTGTGAATGTGGGCGATCTAAAGCTTGTTTTAGAGGAAGATGGGACTGAGGTGGATCAGATGCTGATGTTGATGCTTCTATCCACAAATGAACTATGGAGTGATCGAAAAGGTTTCAACATATTTTTTAATTATGTTGTATTAGTATATTTTATCAAATAATTTATCAAATTACTTACTCAAATTTGCTGCCATCAACCACAAAATAGATGGTTTGGTTTAGTTGATAGTGTTGACGTTTTGATTGCATTTTTTCTCATGCGTTTATATACTTTTATATGATATTTAATTTAGGAATGTCAGCAGTCAATCAATCTGGACAAAAGGAAAATATTGCAGAATCATTAAAAAGTGGTTGACCAACACAATATACATTAACCTAACCCTTGGTAACCCAATAATGGTAGGTAATCTCATTTTAATATAATGTACAAACATTTCTGGTCATTAAATGCTGTCATCTTCAATTTTGCAGGATGACATAGCTACCTCTACAACCAACACTATGGGTGATATCAAAGAGCAATAAAAAATTTTTGGACGAGGACCAAACCCTAAGAAGCTCACAAAATGGCAAGAAGCTGTTAATGATGAAGTAGCCAAACTTGTTCGTAATGACCCAATGCTTGTTCAAAATAGAGGTGATCAACAAAATTTCGAAATTTGGTCTTACATATACTGCACTGCACTACACTGCACTGCACTGCACTGTAAATAGATGATAACAAGATAAATGAATAACAAAATGAGATTATTTAACTTGCTCCAAAATATGCAGAAAAAACTAACTCGTAAGAAATTCAGGAAATTGGGTCTTGGTTAGATGTTCTTTAGCCCACAAACTGGTAATGATTCAAAGTATTAGTTTGCGCTGTCTAACACCAGATGATTGTAATAATCAGTGGAAACGTACTGCAAGTGTCTCCTGCTATCGTTGCTAACCCATTAACTGACAATGTGCCAAAATTTACTTACACTAGTGTATTATTATGTCTAATGTGCCAGTGATATTACTTCTCAGTGAAAGAGTACTGTCATTTTATGGTTATTTAAAATTGTCCTTTTGAATGTAGATGAATTAGTTATTTTTCTACACGTAATTAATCGTTTGGAAATTGGTACTATGACTGTACCTTATCAAATCATTCTCCATTTAATTAGGCAAGCTCTTAAAAAAAGCAAAAGAAACCGTCATTTCTCAAGGCTATGAATTTGTCAAGGGTAAGTCAAGAGCAAGATCCCTGAGTGATATGGACAGTGGTAAGGAAAGTAAAAGAAAAAAGACAGACAAAGATGAAAGAGCAAAAGAAATTCAGAACACTTCTGACATTCTAAAAAATATCCAAGAACAAATTGAAATTAAGCAACTGCGTCTGCAAAAACAAAAGTCGCTGAACAACTTTTCCAAATGTGACCAGATAGTTGGCGAGATAGGAAAGCTGATGAATGAGAAAAAGATCTTGGAGAAACAGCTTAAGCATATGGAAAAGAAAGAAGCAAAATCGAAGTGGTACTATAACAAAAAGGGAAGCGAAAAAAGAAAGAGTGGAGAAAGCAAACAGAAAGGCAAGAGAAAATCATTTGACATTGCAAAAATGTTCAAAAATGCTAGTGATATTTCTGAACACACTCTTACCAGCACGTCTGACTCAAATGAGTCATTTGACACCCTTATTGTGAGCTCAGATGAAACTGAAGGTGGAATTGAAGCAGCAGCCGACATCCCACGTTTAATACGTACTATGCCGACTTCCGTTTGATTTTCAGCGTTTGATTTTCGAAAAAAGTCAACCTTCTGTAGAAGAAGCAGAAGATCATTCCCCAGATTTATTTAGCCAGCAAGAAGAAACAGGAAACCAGTCACCAGATATGTTTAGCCAGCAAGAAGAAACAGGAAACCAGTCGCCAGATATGTTCAGTCAGCAAGGAGAAACGCGAAACCAGTCCCCACACATGCTCAGCCAGCAA